AAAGACTCTTGAGTCTTGTGCGCTGGCTGGCTCCTGGCTTTGAAGTAGCTTCACTGTGCTTCACTGAAAGGCAAACCTTGTCGTCAACGGCATGCACCAAGCATCCCTTCTTCTTTTGATGTTCCTGGCTCTTTTCTGGGAGCCACGGCAGCACATCCTCAAGTCCTTTTTCCGACAGCTTCTGTGCGCCAGCGGGTCCAAGGACTCGCAGCTGATGGGTCGGAGCCTGCCTTTGCTGGCCTTTTCGATTCTTGCCGGTGGCCTCGGCTGCCTGTCGGACCTGACCTACTGGCATCCGGGCAGCAGAAGATGGGATTTGCGAAGATGGGGCCTTCGTCGGCCCCGGCCCCTTCCGTTGCTTCGGGCATTTAGTCAGGTCGCTGGTGATGCGGCATCCTCCACCGTGTACCAAAGCTGTCGGTGTAGGCCCGGCCGGCGCGACAGAGCGCGTCACTGCTTCACTCAGAAATGTTGCCTGCTTTTGCCAGGCATGTCTCTTGGCAACTTCGTGGTTCTGGGCTTGTCCACCGTTCAGGCAGCAGGGCAAAACCCGCATGATCCTGGTACCGGAGATGCAAGCCCCCCACAGTTGTGCCTAAAATTTCGACAGGTTACGGGACGCAGTGTGGACAACCCACGCTTTGGCGTGACGAACTTCTTTGTGTTGGCAGCACTGTTTCAGCGACCAGGTTGCACGATTTATTGGCTCATTATGGACAGTTATTGTGCATAAAATGTGCATGTTGCCAGTGTTCCATCGGATTTCGAGGATGCTTTGGGGCATCGTGACGCTCATCGTGCAGGAGCGATGTGATCATATACTTAGACTGAAACCTAAACCCTCGAGACGGCAAGCATTGAACCATGACAGCCCCCTCCCTCGAAGTTTGGCAGGACAAGCTTGGTCCTGCAGTGGTCTGGGCCGCGGGATTCGTTTCGGAAAGCTTCGGGAAGCGCCTCCTGAACTTAATCAATCCCATGCACGAGAGGCTCAGCAAATCTGGTAAAAGGATCGTTTTCTGTTTTATGATCATTCAGAAACAAAAACATAGTACATAGAATATATGGTCAGGCGTCTGGCGTTCCAGGCCTTCCCCTCCCCCCAATGTCATGGTCTGGTATGGGTGAGTTGGGGGGTGGGGGGTGGCGGCCGTTGGAGCTGCAGCTGGAGGGGGAGGTGCTACTGGGGGGGGCGGCCAGGAATCATGGAGAGTGCCGGGATCTTACGCAAGCCTTATGCAAGCCATAAACCCTATAACGGTAACGTAGAGTGCGTGCCTGTTGTTTTAAACTTAACCTGTGCTCTAAACCCTCTGCCCTATACTAAATCCCGCCTAAATGCAGGATCCACCTAAAGCAGAACATAAACCGTCAACCCGAATCAACCTGTACCCCAAACCCTCCCTAAGCCCTTGTCGACTCGAAGCATAGACTCCAAAGCCAACACGTCCAAATCCCAAGACCATCCCATGAGTCTAGATCCGCACCATGGCACGAGCACGGTTGGACCGCCAAAATGCGTAGGGCCTTGGAGGGAGGAGGGAAGACTCCGAATCGCGGCCAAAATATGATTCGCAGTGTTGCGGGAGCACGATGTCGGAATTCGGACACTGGCAGGCAGAAAGCGCGCAATGTGAAATATGCATGACGCCGCGGCGGCACAGTTTGGAATTTGGCCAATGTTCATTTGCAGACCACCGCAGCGAGCCCCCAGCAGTGTGGCCCTTCTAGGATTTTTTGCGATTCGACCGCTTCCAACGCACAAACGAGCAGGGGACTGTGGCGGGAGCCTGCGTACCAACCAAAACACGGCAAAGGGCACTGCGGAAGTGGTGAGGTGCCTCCAGTTGGCCAGCGCCAAAGCAATGGATTTTGCAATAAATTTGGCGTCCGGAGGACAGGACTGTGGAAGTATCGAAAACGGGCATCACGGCACAGCAGCTGCGGATTTGCCGGACATGCCTCGCTTACAACCAGATCCTTTGTTGTCTGACAATAACAGTCCTGCAGTATTACCATACTGCTTGCGGAGCAGTCTTATATAAAGAACTATACGATGTATGGATGTACATACCTGTCTTGTCTTCCAAGCACTAAGGAAGGCGGTCGCCTTGCTGCGCGCGGAGCAGGAGGAGGCTCAGGAGGCCCAGCCTGCGGCCGCCGCGACGGACCACCCGGGGCCAAAGTCCTCGGGGCTGCCGCGGAAGAAGAAGCGGCTCGGATAGGTTCTGGTTTTCGGCCTTTGAAGGACTCTAGATGAGTGACAGAATCCTTTTGATGTGTCTGCGCTGCTTAAGAATCAGAATGTCCCGAGCTGTGCTAAGGATTCTGCTCTTTGAAGCGGTTCCTTGGTCTCCGATCGGTTTCATTCAGGTTGCTCGTCGACTGTCCCTTCAGCTGAAGAAACTGAATAAAGGATTAATGCGTCGGCCTGAGGTCAACTTCTGTACATATGCCACAACTTACACCTTGCCTTGTATTTTGCCTTTCGTCGCGGCGACTTTTCCTGAGACTGGGCGACAGCAGAGTCAAAGCAATACATGTTCCGTTCTGCTTTTTGCTCATATGGCGAACTTCGCCATGGCGCAGGAGAGAAGTCAGCAATGCCATCTGCTCCTGAACATGATGATCTTTCAATCCATTGGAGATGTCAGCGGTCGAATGCTAGCTCCCACGTCGAAGCAACTTGGACAAGTCTAGCAGTGGTTGTAAGCATCTGATCGCACAACATAAGCTCCTCCACCAGGAGTGGATCCTTGCAAAAGAAGCTGCCGCTGGTTGGCGGTGTGGTGCTTCCTCTCTGCTTCAGCATTCTCATAGCTTCTGCAGTGGAAGCTTCGCTCCGTTGTAGAAAGGTCTTGTGGTACAACCCGCTTGAAGGCTGTCATTACTGTCATGAGACTTTCATGAATGCGAATATCTCGCAGCATGTCCACGTCTGAGGACACTTCCATTATCTCCGATGTGCTGTCCTACGAGCAGGTCCCGGAAGAGTGATCCAACCTGCCGCAGCATGATGCCAGCCGTGATTTCAACAGCAAAGAGCAGTAGCTGCAGATGCATGCTGAGTCCGCACTGACCAGGCAGCATTGGTTCTTCCGCTGATAGTCATGTGCTTCTTCTTCTCCCGCGGCATGCTCGTCTCTGCTGTCTTCCTTCGAGCGAGAGGCAAGTTTCGAGCAAGCTCAGAAGATCTCAGAAGTTCAAAGAGAAACCTGGATGCAGTTTTTGCTACAGGCCTCACCAGTAGCCGCGAGGCGGCGGAGCACTTGGCCTCGACCATGGGCTTCTGTGGCCAGATGGGTGCACTGTCTGCCAATGTGGGCGACCAAGTGGAAGCGGGTGTTTGAAGGGGCCGTTTGTTTGGTTTTCTTGGCACTGCCACGTTGCACAGCGGGGCCGAAGCTTCAAAACCTTGGGCATTGCCTGCTTGAGGTCATCACGTTCGCAATTGTCAACTATTTCCACTGAGATGCGACCGCGTTAATGCACCAGCAGCAGTCCAGTCGGGATGTGCCTGGTTCATGCACGACAAGGGTGTGTGGAAGACCATGGCCACCCATGATTGCTTGCATTGCTTCCAGAGAAAGAGCAGCTTCGTGGTTCGGGCTCGGAGCTCTGACGGAACATCCTGCCAGGAAACCTCTAACCTGTGCAGGTGATGGTTGAGCCGTGCAAAAGACAATGTTCTAGCGATAGGATTCGGAAGGCGCATCACAAACTGGGAGTAATGAAGTGTATTGGGAAGTATTGAACCTTGTGCAATGGGCTTAACGCTCAAGGCAGCAAGAGCGAAGGGGTGCCTTCGATTGCAGAGTCTCAGCCGCAGGAGTCACCGCTGCAGCTCGTTGGAGTGGAAGGCCAGATTCGACAACCTTGGTCTGCGAAGGGCTGTCGGGAAATTACAGCTTGACACAGGGACAGCGATGAGCTCCGATGATCACGAGCCGGAAGGTAAGTCTGAGACCCGGGGCCCTTGTCGCAGGATGTCATTGCTGTCGGTTGTGCGTGAAAGCGGAAGGAGCGTGTTGTACCCAGGCGAAGCTTTGCGGGTGTCTGTATCGATGCAAGGGCCCCGGCGCCTCTTGGAAAACCCATGAGGACTTTAGATTTGAAGAGTAGAGGTTCGCAGTTTTCACTGACAGGTCCGATGGCTGTGGCCTGACATCGAAGAGGCCGTCCCTGCATTTCATCTTGCATTTCGCGGCCTTTGCATTTTCACAGTGCGACACAGGCCTTGCAAAATGCGGGCTTCTCGAAGTCACGACCCCTCGTCATGCGACGGCCTCGGCAGTCACCGCTTCAGATGGCCGATGACCGGAGTCTGAGGAACCAAAGTGACGACAGCCACACATCTTTTGGCAGCAGATACTTCTACGCATTTCCTGGACTCATCTTCGAGGTGGGATGGTGGTGGGGGTTGTGCGGGGTTGGGAAATCTTTCTCCAGCCAAGAGCCCCTAGCAAAGGTGATGCAGAATGGGTACCTGGCCTCATTGACAATGTTTCAGGCTGGGCAGATTCTCTCTCTGCACAAGACTTGACGTCGCCTGGCGGTTCAGGTTCCCACGTCCGAGCTTCCGTCAATTTTCCATGGCTGGTCCGATGGCAGCATGAAGGGACCGCGTGGTTTATGAGAGTTTAGGAGTTCATATGTTTCCAAGCTTGCAAGCAGCACAAGTCCTGAACGGCCGAGGTCCTAAGACGTTCTGGAAGCCCGAGCTGGATGTGGCATTGCGCAACAGACGCAGTGCTCCGCTTGATAATGATCCCAGGCCACCCAGGCCCTTAGATCGTGGCACAAAGGCTGCCCAACTCAACTCGTACCTCTAAAGATGCCAAAGGTGCAGAAACAGCAGCATGTTTAGAGAGAAAAAAGCTAGCTGGTCGAACGGGAAGCTGCTTCGTGGGGGCCGGGGCGCTGAGCATCCTTGGTTCGTTCTTCCCTAAACCCTTGGGGAAAAACGGGAGCTGTCTTGGCCCTCAAGGGGCCACTCAGCCATGGCCGCCTTGGCAGTGCTTGAGCCGAGCTGGCGGGGTTTCCGCACCTTCGAAGCGCCACCGCCTGGCTGTGTGCTTTGGCTAACCTTGGGTTCCGTTCTGTTACTGTACTTTGCTCAAGCCAATTGCATGTTGAAGACGGCCTACGCAAAGCTTGAGCTTTCGGCGTTTCAACTGAGCACCATGGCTGCGACGAGCGTTTACGGCTGCAGCGTGCACGCGAAACACAAGCGGTCACAAGCGTACTGAAACAGAGACCACGCCCACCTGCTATCATGCTCTTGCCTGTCGCGGAACGATGGTTTGATGGTGGCAGAGCCGGAGGCCCGGTGATGATGATGATGATGATGATGCTGATGATGATGATGATGATAGTTGGGTCTTTCTCCAGCCGGCCGCTTCCGTTTATGTTGGCCGGTTCCTCGACAAAAGGACAGAACGAGAGGTGAAGAGGCCCATGATTTACAAGTGTCAACGGTTTTTCTCTTGTCTTCATGTATTTCATGTTGGAGTGGCAAATGCCAAGAGAGGCAGGGACAGACAGATAAACCGCATGTGTGATCGAGCTTTGACTTTCCATCGAGTTCCATGGTCCATGGCGATATGTTGCAGGTGGGGGTGTTCGTGGAAGCATAGCATCAGTGTGCCTCTGGGACTGGCAAGGTAGGCTGGGGCCGCGAAGAAGCTGAAGAAGAGCGTCGGCCTTCTTTGCTGGACTCTCCCTGGTGCCAGTGTTCATTGTCCAACAGAGTTCATCGCAAAGAACATTGTGTAAGCTCGAAACAAAGAGCCCGGCTGCTTGCATACTTTTCGAGCGATGGGACATCTTCACGAATTCGACGGCCAGGCACTGCATGTCTCGCATTGCTGTCGCTCAAGTCTGATCGATGAGACTTGGGAGGACCTCCCATCGCCAAGACAAGCGAAGGAGGCAAGAGAGGACAGCGATGCCTCGGGTTCTAAGAAGCAAAGATACATGACTACATGATTGTTGCATGAGAACGATGCCAGGATCCTGGGAACAACCTGGGGCCTCTGCAGAATGCTGAGCACTTGCACGAAGCCGAAAAGGCTGCTTCACGAGCAACGTGAACCGCATAACATGAAGGTTTGCACAGCTTTTCTGGGAAGGCTGATCTGGAAGCCCTCGCCGAGCGCGATCCGGCTCTCAAGGAGATATTGGAGCATCTCGTCGCAGGGCGCTGTTTCGTTGTATGCCGCGAAGACTCGACGAAGATGAATGCGCTCGTTTGCCAGAGCGCATCGCAGCTCGTGTTGAAAATTGAGGCAGGATGCAATGGCTATTGGCCGGGATGCCGCAGCGGATGCCGCTTTTGAGCTCTACAGGCAGGGCCCGGCTTCGTCTCCCTTCCAAGAGGATTTATTCACGACTTGAAGGCAAAGCTTGATAGCCCTGGATGCCGGACAGATGCTGACGCAAAAGGCCTTCAAATGTGTGGCAAGAGACAATGCCGAGGACTCGATGGAAATCCGGCCGGTGTTGCGAGGTTGCCGGTTGCGGCTTATTGGCAGGACTTGCGCCGCCTCTTTGAAACCACGAGCCTGCGCTGGGATGCCGAGAACGCTGGCGGACAGACGTTGATAGAAGTGGCTTTGGAGAGGCAGCCACTTGACTTTCTTGCGAGGGTGACCTGCCTTCGCTGTCTGAATGTCGAGAGCAATTTGTCATAATGTAATGCTGAGGAAAGCCCGAGTGCAAGTAGTACCTTGGAGTGCACCTACCAGGGGCCCGCTCCCTTCGATTCTGTGCTGCAGCTGCGTTGAGGTCATCAAGGAGATGCGCAGGAAGCAGGAAAACGAGGAGAGCAGGACGGCTGCCGGTGATCAAGACCCGACTGATTCCAGCACAGGGCTCAGACGAGACTGCAGTCCTTCTCAGTCTCTGGATGTGCCGTTGGCCTTCACGCTTGCCGTCTTATGGTAGGCTTGCCCAAAGCCACCGATGCGAAGTCGGAGGAAGTGACAGAACCTGGTAGAGATGCACAAGAGCCGACGCCGGCGGACTGATGGATCGTTAAATGTAAAAAAAAAGGCATGGGTCGCGATGCCCATCAGCATCGTAGCTGGTAGATGTCGTTGGTTGGCATGAAGGCCGATGTTCATGAGACTCATGAGGCTTGGAATCACTCTGATTCGGTGAGAATACTCGTCTTCAACTGGCCTTTCGGCAACTTTGCCTTTGCCGCGGCCTCTAGCTGTGATATGTGAGCCCAGCAAGCAGCCAGAGGTCGACTCGGCAAGCTAAGTCGCAGCTAAGCCGCTACAAAGCATAGCATGCGTGCTCAACCACCAGAAAAGAAAACACTCGTCACGTCGCTGAGCCCAAACTGCTTTGTGAACTTTCAAGACCTCAGAGCTGGAGAGCCATGGCAGCTGCAGCCGGCAAGCGAGCCTATGCTGGCGGTGGACCAAGGAGAGAGATGCTGTAGCCTGCAGTTTGCTTCTGGCAATGTTTCTGGCATCGCCCATTCCATTCCAGGATCGGCGAGAAGGGAAAGTTTGAGGGCGAGTCGTGCGCCCAGGGGCTGCGCTGCTGTCTGCAAACACCTCAGCACTCATGCGAAGCCCCAAATAGCTTCATTTCAGGTTCAAAGTTCAGAAGCAGGCTCCCTATATCAAGCACCGCCTTGATGCTCGGGCCTGAGTTCCGGCCTTCACTTGTTGGAATTCGGTGACAGACGACCTGGGACGTGTTCTGAAGCCTGCTCGGCCTCCATCATGCATCAGTGTTAGATGCTGCCCAGACTCTAGACTCTAGAAGACTCTCTAGACTGCTCATGCACCGTCTTCCAAGGTCTGGGAGAGGCTGTACAAGAAGTACACGGACGGTCTAGCATCCAAGCCACAAAAGAAGATCGAGGCGTGCCGCACCGGACAAAGCGGTGGCCTGTAGGGAAAACGCATTGTGCCAGTCAACGGCTTAGGGGAAAGCTGTGCTGCGAACGACTACGCGGTCTTGTCTTGAAAGATCATTAGAAAGGATTACACCGCCAAGTCTTTCCCGGTTAGAGCCTTGTCCTTCTTGAGATGACATTTGGGTGTTTCACCCTGTGCGAAACTTGCAGATCGAGCTGCCGGATGGCACGAAGAAGAATGGCGAGGCCCGGAAACGGAGCTTGTGACAGTCTCTGATCCACACTTGGCAGCCCAGGCCTTCAAGACGAGCCCCATGGAAATTGCGTCGGGGCCTACAGAGAAGCCACGGCCAGCGCTTGGCATGGGTGTCAGTGTCCTTCCTACCCTGCTTTGCTCAAGGCAGAAGCAGCTCGACTCTGCAAGAGCTTGGTCAGCTAGGTTAACCCCTTAGGCATAGGGCCAAGCCTGAAAGGTGAAAGGTGACATGTGTTCGCTCAACTCCGTGAGAGCTTTTGTGCACATCCGTCATGGACAAAAAGCCATGAAGATATTAAGCAAGAAGACCATGCTGCCCAACACAAGCACAGCTTACCACGGCCTTACATGTTGAAGTCTGGTCTTCCGCTATTTCTCTCCCGAAAGTACCCACCTCACACATCGTTTCTTCTCGCAGACACCTTTGTCATGAAATCATGTCGGGGAAGCCACCAAAGCGCGGCTACACCTTGATTCGCGTCTCAGTGCAGGCACGGGATCAAAGAGCGTTTGTGACGCAGCTGGTCTTACTCTTTGGTTGTCTGCAGGGATGCCTCAACTTTCCCTCGCGCTCCTTGAAGAAGTCGGCCAGGAAAAACATCTCAGTGAAGGCCGCGGCCGTTCTTCTCTAGAGAGGGGGTAGGCTTATGCGTGCTTTGTGGGGCTGTGCCGGGTCGTCTGAGGTGGCAGAGCTGCCACCAGACTCGGTCTTCGATCCTGAGCTGCCCATTCCCGCCATCTTCGAGTTGCGCAGCCGTCCATTTACGGCCGTCCCATTTCAAGAGTACTGAAGAGTGCAGCGGCACGGCGGCTCGTCTAAGGTTCCGGAATGGGGAGCTATCGGACTCACGACTTGCGGATGGGATCAGAGTCTGAAAATGTCTGAACGTGTCGCGTCGAAATTCCAGGAAGGCGAGCATCTGTCCTTCGACCCGCCGCGTTTCTTTCAGACGGACCTGGAGTCGCACAGGTTCCGGGCGGAGGCCCGGCCTCACAGCTGCTCTGTTGCCTTCCGCTGCAGTTCCTGGAATTTGGACTTCAATGTGTGCGACGGCTACGGCAACATCGTCGGATGTGCCAAGATCGGGGTTGGCGATCTTGCAAGTGCTCCGGCTGCATCACCTTGTTCGGATCAGTCGAGCAAGATCTAGCAAGTATCTGCGTGTACAGCCGGCGATGTTGTTGCCAGTCTCTTGGGTAATGAGGAAAGCCCGCGTGGCGGCTACTTCTGCAAGATCCCACTGCGTGTAACCCCTTATATGTGCCACACCCAGCTGCATCTTATTGTGGGAAGCTGTGGGCAAAAGGCAGAGGCTTCAGATGTGCATGGCCACGTCCAGGTTCGAGGTAGAGTCAGCTAAAGGCCAATGTCAAAAACCTGCAAGCCGAGCTCCCGAAACTGCTTGCAAACCTGTGGCTTTCCAAGATCCCCATCACATGGCCGACAGTCAAGTTGGAGAGTGCGATAGCTGTCGGTCCTCCGCTGAATTCCGTGAAACTAAGACATCGGACGTCACGCGCAGCCACGAGTACAGGCGCATCACGCGCCGTGGCCAGGCAGATTTGACAAGCCGTCTGCAAGTGCGGAGTCCACGGCCGACTGAGCCTGCCACACTGCCTGCAGACGGTGCGCCGTCCGACTTTCCTGCTTTTGGCGGTGGAGATTGTCGGCGGCGTGCAGGAGGAGGAGAAGAGCCAGCCCAGAAGAAGACGTGTCCTGAGCCTGGGCTTCTGCGTTGTGTTCGGAGCGAGGAGATCCAAGCGCGGCGCTCCTGCTCCTGGCAGCGGGACTTGCCCGCCTCCGGCGCCGTCAGGCCCAGGCCCGGAGAACCCGAGGGGAGGGGAGGCTCCTAAAAAATGAAGAGAGGGAGAGAGAGAGAGAGAGCCCGGGGCTGGACCGCCTTGGGACTCCCACCTCGTAGAGAGAGAGAGAGAGAGAGAGAGAGAGAGAGCGAGAGCAAAGCCCACCGCCAGGAGGCCGGACGGCCGCACTCGCGTGATGGTGATGACGAGGCTTGCCGCCGCTGGAGCATCACTTGTAATTAGTCTCTAGAAGGGTCTACGTCAGCCCAAGCATTTCAGTTCGACGGAAGCTTCAGCAACCCCACATGGGCCCAGTAGCACCCCACTGTCCAGGGGTACGCGTGGTGACGTCCAACCTTTTGTGGCCTTGGCACGTGGGCTGATTTTGAGCCTTGGCGGACCAGTGGGAATGCATCTGCAAGTTTGTAAACGTGCTGGGAGCCCAGGCGCCACAACTGTGAGGTGACCATTTGCACCGAGCTGCCTGTCAGCACAGATTTGCCTGTTTGCTCTTCTTGCGCAACCTGCTTGTGTTCAGTGGGTTTTACGCGCAAAAGGCTTACATGGAAAAGCTTCATCAAGGACTTCCGAGATGGACTGCCGCAGGAGTTCGGCATGGCCTGAAGAGAAGAGAGAGTTCCTCCATTTCTCTTCTCCCTCAGCGCAGCCTGTGTTGCAGTCACCGTGCCAGATTCTGGCGAGGCAAACGGGGGAGGGCGGGAAGATGGAGGAGGAATAAATTGCAGGTTTTTCAGGTCTGGTCAGGAAGGCAAGGAGGCTGTGATGCTCGCGTCGTGGCAACTGTCCCAATTGCAGCAGAGGACTGTGATGAAACCCAAGGAAGAGTGCGCCGCACGCTCCTAGTCTTGTAGTTTGAGGCAGCGTGGGTGGCGAGTTTGGCAACGACGGTTGCAAAGTCTTGTGCAGGCAGACAGCGTAAGTTTACATTTGCACTTTAGTGGCCCCTGCCCAGATTCTGGGTGCGCCAAAAAAACCCATGTCGCTTACTGATCTTCCAAAGCATCACATCAGTGTTTCTGCTCCGCTCCCTCTGCACATGGCTTCATGCGGTGAGCCAGATGCTCCTGTCTATTTCTGCCCACAGGAGACTCTGCTGTTCCGGCCATCCGGTGGTGACACCATGGCGCAGACCCGAACTGCTGTGAGCAAGCTCATCACTTGGGAGGGCCAGCACTATGCGTGGTTCTCAGTGGCGGTGTCACCTTGGGAAGTTCTGCAGGCTGTGGCCGCAGCAGCACCTAAGGACTTCCTTCAGTCTTTGATTTTTTCTGCCCAGGAGAGCTATGCTGCTATGCCCCTTCCCTCCGCATACGCCCCTCCAGTTTCCAGCTTTGTCTTCAGGAGAGGAACTTCTTCCCCTCCGAGGGCTGCTTTTACCATTGGGCCGCAGAAGAGAGGCAGCGCAGATGCATGTCGCATCACAGATATTTCGTCTCCTGCCTCCTTCGAAGGCCGGACTTCATCGTTTTCGGCTTCACGGTGTGCCATCTGGCTCCTTTCCGGCAGAAGGGTGAGGAAGGCATCCTGCAGCCTCCATCTCCAAATCTCCGGAGGCCATGATCATCGGCGAGGCTCTGGGCATCCCTCTCGTGGGCTTCATCTGCCAACCGGACCACAAGATCGAGGAAGACGCAGGGAGGGAAGTGCACAGACTCGCCAACCTTCAGTCTTTTTGGAAGGAGCGGCGGGACACATCCACCGCGGTCGATCAACTCCTGGAGCCGACGCGAAAGGCAAGGACACTGCCTGTGCTCATGCTCTCATGTGTGTGTGTGTGTGTGGTCGGTGTGCTTTGAGTGTTTCGGAAAGTCCAAGGCCATGAACTCCGAGGGTTTCAATGCGGCCCTGATGAGCGTGATGCAGAACCTTGGACTCCTTTGTGTCGCTTCGCGGTTTTTATAGCCCCGCTTGGCGGGAGCCAAGGCAGATGTCGGTGCGGGGACAGAGTTTGAACTGCTTGCGGCGGACACGGGGGCTGGCTCCGTGTCCAAATGTGTTAACATGCACTTCGTGCTCAAGAATCAAGACCTGATGTCCTCCAATGACGTCTTTTGTCTGTTTCTTCCATGCTTGGCTGAGATCACCATCCCAGCTGGACTCACGGACAGCAGCTGGGCTCATTAAACCGCCGGGCCGTTGGTCAAGGATCTGCAACCCCTGCTCTACAAAGGAGACTATTTGTTTCTTAAAGCTCTTCTCTCTTTGCCCATGTTAGTGCGTTTGTTATGCATTCTGCTCTTGTCTTAGATCTGCTTCATGATCTTATGCTTGACTTTTCAGGCATGGTTCACTTTGATGAGCTCCACGAGCAAGGGGTGCCTCGGAAGACAGATATGCTCCATATGCTGCTTTCACGATGGCTTTGGCATCCCAGCTGACCCGACATCTGTTTTCCACGCTTGTTCTGTGATTTGAGGTGCCGATGGTCGTGCCTATCAGTCCAGTCGCAGCAGCTTGCTCAGGATATGACGAGGAAAGCACGATACTTCTCTTGCGTTCCCGTAAGAGCAAGTTCCGAGACATGATGTGAAGGTGGCCTGGCAGTTTCATGCATGCTCAAGCAAGAATCATGAGTCTCAGGTGGGCAACTACTTGCAGCAGCTTCAGCAATACATCCTCACAGACTTCGTTTTTCTTCGATCTTTGGCAGATTCGGCTTGTTGCCAGACCTTGAGGTTTCTTGTACTTGGCGTCGTGAGGCATTTGCCAGCCCTCCTTATCGACATTTGCGTAGGAGATATGCTGCCAATTCATCTGCCCTTGAACTCTTGTGCGCAAGGAACTAAAGGTGATGTGCTCGATGATGAGCTGTCCAGCTTCGTCAAGCAAGCTAAAGATGCCGGGAGGCTGGCATGTGCACAGTCGGACGGTCCGACTCTAACTTTGTGTTCTCTTTGCGGTGTTTCGCTGTTGCTTTGCACACACTTCATGTTGGCAGTGTCAGAACCTCGGGCTGTTTTGAGCTGCACCCGGATAAGCTTATGAAGTCGAAATGCCAAGGCATGAGACTCAGGGGGAGTTAGCCAAACGTGACCGCAGCACAGGCGAATCCTGCTTATCACCTTCTCATCAATGCCGGTCGGAGAGAAGACGATCCTTGACCTAGCGCTGCAGGTTCGTCGCTTTCACAGACGTGCATAAATTTCCTCGTGTGTGTGCATGCCAGCTCTGCCATGGTCTTGGTTTAGACTTAGATGCAGTGCTTTGCAAGAACATCTATGACTCTGTGAGTCTCGAGTCTGTGGCACGGCCAGGCTTGCGACTCTGAGCTGCCACCTGGTGCAAGGGTCAGAGCATGTTGAGCTTCGGTTCTCCCTTCATGTCTCCTGTAAACAATACTTGTAAAGCCGTCGGGACCCTAGACCTTAAATCCCAAACCCCAAACCCCAAAAACCCTAAACCCGGATCAGCCTGCTTCTCCTCATCCCTCGTCCAGAGTCCCCAGGCTGCTCTTCCCGCCAAAGCCACCAGCACCCAATGGTCCAAAGCTGCCCATTGCGGTGATCGCGATGACAGGCAGCGGCCCAGGGTCCCTTTCAGATGCCCAAGAGCTGCGAGATGCCCCATTGAACTAGGCCCAAGGCCCGAGTACATCCCCACAACGTCTCGAAAAAGGTGGGCAAGAACACGACCGAGCGAGCGGCGAGAGCCTGGAGCGTGTCCAGCAGCTCCGCAAGGCGCAGCCTGAGACGGGGTCGGGTGTCTGTTTTGGACATTTCCGGCAATTGCGATCCCTCAGCTTTGCCAACATCTTAGGGCCGAGGGAAGTCGGGGGACCACAAGCCGATAGCTTGCCCGGCCTTGTTGCGAAGTGACTCGCTCCTGTTGATCCGGCATACAGTTAGCCTTGGGAGTTTCCCTTACGCAGCCGATGGAAGGGGCTGGGTGTGCAAAACTTGGCTCTGCGTTATACCTGTCCCGATGATTAGCTTCGCCAAGCTCCAAAAAGATACCTGTGAGAGAAGCGTTCAGGATGGCCGCCTCCTCGTGAGGAGCAAAGGCCAGGGGCCCAGCACAGCAGCGATCATGAGCGGGTTATCTAAAGATATTTAGTAAACGAACCCAGTGAGGAGCCTCCTTTGCGGCGCTGTTCCCACTGCTGGACGCACTCATCGGGCAGGCCTTCTGGAATTGAGCGGCTGATCAACCAAAGTGACAAGTGTCTTCTGTCCTCCTCAGGTTTCCTTTTGCACCCTTTAATATACAGCTTAGTATAATATAGACTGGTGTAATGTAATCTAGCCTGATCTAGTCTCATCTAATCTACTCAAAACTAATCCAATCTAGCCTGGCCTGGTGTGGTCTAGTCTACCTGCCCCTGCTCCTAGTATGATTTGACATTCTTATAGTCTAGTCTAGTCTAGTCTAGTCTAATCTAGTCTAATCTAATGTAATCCAGCGTTAAATAACGTGATTTGAAAAAGATAACCTCATAGACGAGAGTATTTTGTGCGACGATGCAAGATACGTGAATGCAACGAAAGCAGGCACTATGCTATACTCATCTATACTCTAATACAGTATAACTCAGTATAACATAACATAACATAACAGAATATAACATGATCTCAATAAAAGTATGAGTATGAGCATGAATAACACCACAATACATAATATAATCGAAAACAGTATGACAGTATGATGTGGTATAATATAATATTGGTATACTATAACATAACATAATTTTCGAAGTATGATGTAACATAGTATGATTTGATATAGTTTTGTTTTATATTTTGTAGTATAGTATAATATGATGCAGTGTAATTGGAATATGCTATAGTACAACAGAGTGGAATCGACATATTAACAAAGCGTAACATAATGTAGTATCATATACTATGCTATATCGTGAAACAATACTATATGCTATAGTATAATGAAATAAAACGTAGTATAGTGTAAAATACAACGTAAGACAAGACAAGATAATGCAATATAACACACTATATTGCAAATATACTTGCCTCGCCTTTGGCTGCCCTTCACATTTTTCAGATTTTGCGATTTTTTGGGCCTACAGGCCATCCAGGAGAGACGTGTTTCTGGAGAAACGGGACCCCGATGATGCTTATGACGCCTGGTGCCGGGGCCGGGGGGGGAGCAAGTGCAAAAGGAGTATCGCCCTTCTCCATCCTCTTCCACCCCCGCACAGCTTGCCACCGGTTTGTGAGCTTTCGTCCCCCCCCCCCCTTTGGGGCGCAAGTACAATATAATCGGATATAGTAGATCAGCATAACACAACATAAACAATACAATGCAACTATATCTAGACTAGACAATACAACGCAATGCGGCACAGTACATTGTAGGCGGTAGTTATCGGCGTTTTCCCAGAGATCGATGCTGCTCTCGTGCTGTTTTCAGGGTGGCCTGGGCGTTACGTCGGAGGCACTGCGAGCCGGCGTACCGGTGATAACCAGCGGCATCCTGCAGCTTGAACTCGATTAGGCATTGGGCTTCTACCATATAATATAGCAAACTTCAGTATAAGATAGTAAACTATCGTACAATGGGATTTTGGCACTAGTATAGTACAATGCAATATATCATAACATAGTGTAATGGTATAGTACAATATCAAATACCATCACATGGTACAACATAGTACTATTTAATACAACAGAGTACAATCTTGTATAACGGCTTTATATAAGGCACCATAAGTTTAGGATTTACTGTGTAGGTTGGCTGCAATGGGCGTTTCCCCAAGGTAATGGAGTTGCTACTGTGTTGCAAATTCTAGATCCCGATGCACACACCGATGAAGTGCAGCCGAGTACTTCGTGTATGATTTTTTGGTCCAGGGACGTGCTGGCGGGCCAGGAAGGGCAAGCAGGATAGCCACACAGAAGAAGCGATGAAGATGGCCGTCGTGATGACGGAGATGGTCATAGTGATGCTCGTGATGATGGTGATTGTGGCGGTGATAGACAGTTTATGGAAGTACCAAACCGGCCCCTGCACGTGCGAGATTTTGCCCGTCTTCCTTTGCTGAGGCTTTTGGACCAGCGCTGGTGGGCCGCGAGGGTGAAAGACCTGGGCTGTGGCTCGAAGCCGGTAAAGGCCGCTATCTTTGCAACAATCTCCTGTGGTCTGTTCGGTTCAGCCACGGGTAGGGGTCAAGCAGTTGTTCTTTTGCGTATGGGTCATGTGGCTGGACTTAAGCTCATGAGCCTACATCTTTCCATGAGCTGAAGATGTGGGTTTTCATGATGCGCTAGTGGTGCTATGTGGTGTGCACCGAAGGCTTGGGCCCCGAAGACTTGTTTGTTGCGCCCCGTCACGACCCATGTCTTCAGTCATCAGGCTTTTAGGCATTTCAGTCTTAGTGGTTTCAGAGAGTTGGGTCTTTTGGGCATGGTGACTTCTGCCTGAAAGCTGAATCTCGCAACCCTGACAGATCGATGCAGCTTTCTGCATTGCATGTAGAGAACGGTAGTCACACACAGTGCCGCGAAAGCCGTGCAGCGTGAAAAACCTTCATCATCTTGCTCAAGACGTAACTGCCCATCATAGCTGGTCCTTGGCTTATCTTGGCTTGGCAGGTGGACCGTCTCCTCAAGTGGGACTACAGCTTTGATGCGCCACGTGTTGTTGGCATGCTGCACAAAGCACTGCGGGATGCGAGCGACTCCCGGCGCGGGGTTCTGCCTTTGGTGCAGCTTTGGGGAGCTTAGATGGGAAAGTATTGGTTGGAGACATTGTGTAGGGAATCCTAGCCCTCCTCATTGCGCTCAGGATGATGGAGAGCAGACCTGGACGCAGCGGTCGAAGCAGGCAGTCTTCGCACATGCATGCTTGTCTGAATCCTTTGCCGAAAGCAGCTTTAGCGTGAAGGTCTCCTCCATGCTGCAGCGAGCAGCAGGCTTTTTTTGCACGATCTTGCACGATATGTTGCTTGAGTTTTGCGTTGATGGTTGATTTCTACGCTCATTTCCATGCGTCAGCTGCCCTCTGACATGTAAAGCCCTTTTGCAGGATTCAAGGTTGCGGGCGAGCCATTCGTCGAGCTCACACACGTTTTGATGTTTATGCTACCCACAAGACTACTTGGTTGAATAGACTCTAAGCCCTTTGCCGAAGCTGGGCAGACTTTCGGCAGCCCAGCTGGCACAGGGAGGTCCTACCATGACATGTGCATGTGGTCGCCAGCTGTCCGGCAGGCGACGATCCGGATGGTGTTATTCGGAATGCAAAGGCCAGAGTTGTGGAGCACGGTGTGCATGCTATGCTGAACAGCAGAGAAGCTGCGTTTGGAACGATGCGAACGCGAAGCTGGAAAGAAAACAGACCTTGGAGAGGTTGACTCCAGCTTGCGAAAAACATAGCTAGTTCAGGCGGCGTCGTGTCCGCAACACGTGTGCAAAGCGCTGCGACTCGTTCAGAGCGAAGAGTCACAATGGCCGAATGAAGTCCTGCGGGCAGGTGGTTTTTAAAGCTGGAACCGAAGATGCGGTGATCCTTGAAGACTGCTATGCAGAGGGCAGGCCAACCCGAATCATAAGTTGAATTCAGTTTATGGGCCTGAGTATCTTGATTCCACTTGCCAGGGATTGCTGCTCATGCATTAGCCGCCAAGCTCGATGTTGTTGCCGCTGCATTGAGCATTTTCTTCGATTCTCAGTTGCAAGAGCTGGTCAGTCGGATATTTCTGGTCGCCCGGCTACCTGGTCATACAGCAATCCGCTGAGGCTGCATCTTCTTCTTGAACCTCCCCACGATGCTGTATGTGTGCGTTCTGCCTGCCTCTCAAGAATGTGCCAGTGAGACTCTAGTTTGGGCAATCTGCTACTCTCCATCTGCGCTTATTGCAGCTCTTGCCCCGACGATCTTACCAAGCTTTCCCTCTAGTGAGCAGACCCAGCCTGACCCCTAGCAGCATTTGTCTCGGAGGTTTGTGGCACAGTGCTTCTGCTGCCTGCCTTGTCGACATCTTTGTTGTAACCGGAGGCTTCGTTCCGAGAGATCTGCAGGAAGCCGTTGGCGAGAAGTTAGAGCCTGCCCGGAAGGAGAGCGAAAAGCCCGGCCACCAAGGACGAGGCGCCTCGGCGAAACGGGAAGCTACTGGTAGTTAGTGCCAGTCCAAGCTGAGCCATAAAAAAAGTGCCAAGGAGGAGGAGGACTCCTCGGTGTCGGACTCGGGTCTGGAGTCCGAGAGCGAGGACAGCCGCTTGGCCAATCCAAAAACACAACGCAGCACACAAAGAAGCCGCGCATTCCCGAGGCCTGGTTCCTTGATTTGAATATGCCAGGCGCCGCTAGGCAACAAAAGGCACATACGCCCAAAGCCGGCGTGGTGCTGAAAGCATCTTGGCCTTCTGGGAGGCGCAGCGGAACCAGGGAAAAGAGGCCGAAGGCATCCGAAAGAGCAGCTAAAGAAGGTGCACTATAGAGACTATAGAGAGTTGAAGTGTTTCAAGTTTCAACAGAGCCCTCCTTTTGCAGCTGGGCCTAGCTCCCTGCTTCATGCTCCGCTTCTGGAAGAGAACGCCTTGTCTGCGGACTCAGCGCACTTGGCGCGCAACTTGCACCTCCTGTGGGCTACCACTGCGAGGTCTGCAAAGTATGCCTTGTTAATGCTTAGGTTTGTTTCTGGTAGATACCAGTGCTCGGAGGAAAGATGCCGGTGCAGGAACAAGAGCCCTCAGCTCCTTCCGTCGATGCCACCCACTTCAGATGGCCAACCGTAGCAGTCATCACGCAGCAGCGCGAAGCTTTCTACAACATGATCGCACAGCTTTGAGGAGCAACAGTAGGCAGAGTGTGGCCCAAGGATGTCCATCTCGAAGGGCCTCGCTGAATCGGCAGTGGTGGCAAAGGCACGTCTCGCAGAATCCGCGGATCAGCAAAGCCAGTGCTGGGACGAAAGAAGCCACGTGAGCTCACTGACATCGCTGAAATCGGATGTCGCAGGTGATCTACAAGGAGGCTGTCGAGTCGCTGAAGCAGTGCGTCGTCGCAGATGTTGAGGAGGAGATTCCTGAAAAAGACCCGTTCAAGGTTCTGCGCTCTCCTTAACACTGCAGGTGTCAGCACGGGATAGAGACAGCCGTCGTGGGTCATCAGGATGTTTTACAGCAACCTCTCCTGGCAGGATGAGCCCGAGGAACAAGCGGATGCGGAGCAGAGTGTCTTGTGGGACATGACGAGGCTGTGAAGCACATCTGGAGGTAACCACGCTGTGAAGGGGTGCTTCCATAGCCTACGGGTTACTTTAAAATGTGGTCCCAGAGCACGGTGCTATGAGCAACTCCGCACCGCCATTGCCCCATGTTTGGGCTCAAGCTTCCCACCGCATTCCATTCCCGGGAGCCTGCTGGGCCCGCAAACGCGTGCAGATGTCCAGGCTTGCCATGGTCAGACGAGAGAGATGCCCGGAACCTGCCTTCACGGGCGTCCCTCTACACCTTTGCTGCTGGGCCAGGAGTCTGACAGTAGGACTTTGAGCAAGCAAGTAGCTAGGCACATCGCTACCACAAGCTGGAAAATGGAGATCCGAGGTCTCAGTCGCTGCTGGGGGATATGGAGGTGCAAATAGATCTCCACGATGCAAGCGAAGTTCTTTAGAACTGAGAAGCATGTCAGATCCCTGACCTTTCATGGCTAGGAGTCTACAAAACGCTGCATTAACTGTTGTCCCGGGCCCTTCGCAACACCTGTGAGTTGAGAATTGGTGGATACAGTCGACCTGCATCTGATAGTGCTCTGAAGCGCTTGCATGTGTTTTTCCTTCACTGTCTAAAGCCACATGTGTCCAGAAAGTGAACGAACTTATGGCATTCGTTCCGCAAGCTTTGGCGGAACCTGGGCTTATAACTTGAGGTCCATCATGGCAGGGCTTTACTGATGTGCAAGTTCATTATAACTTCATGGCCCTCTAGCCTGCGAGTCACGTGATGGCTAGTCGGAAGGTCATCATTGTTGGAAGACTACTTCCCCGATGTGGAGAAACACCAAAAAGAGTGTCTTGTCTGCCCAAGTTGATGTGTGGTTCGTGTGCCGAAACGGAGGATATGCGGTAGTAGCCTCTGCTAGGACATCCCGCTGCAATATCTTCATCAGCACCGACGATCAGATCGACGAGGAGTCGATTGTCCGGAAGTGCCTCGGGCGGCATTCAGACGGTGGTGAAGAAAAGGCTGCTTATCGAGCCGCATCATGTTGTTCTCCCTGCACCACTGCAGTCAATGTCATGTTCAGGCAGTGGTGCTGCCAAATTCTTTTGAATGCCCGGGCTGCTGCCGTTGCAACGGCTTGCGTTAGTTTCACTGTAGGCCAGGTTCGGGGGGGGGGGGGGAGGTTACATCCGTAGGCATGGAGCCCAGAGATCCTTCGTTTCTGCTCGTTGAGGCATCCTCCAGGTGCATGGGGGCATTCCATGCAGCATCTGGAACCTCGGCGATAGCCTTAAGCCGCTTGCTAGGATGCTAGCAAGGCAGATCTGCTTTAAGGACCGCGGTCATTTCCCACCTGACTTCGCTTCTTGTCCTCTTCTTCTGGCAGTACATCCGAGCTTGGATTGGACTGCCTCAGCTGACCTTTCTGAGAGAAGTCTGTGTCCCTCGCAAGCCCGAGCTCCGACCGGCAGAGCTGCAGAAGCTGGGGGGCATCTTGAAGCACTCGCAGACACTAGTGGTGGTTTGCTCGGCCACCTATTTCCGGTGCCCGTTGTGTGTCTATGAAGTCGTCAGCTTTCTGGAACAGTCTGGCGGAGAAGGTAGGGTGCTTGCGATGCCTGAATCGATGGGTTGGTTCTTCTTGCTCTTCTACTTGAGCTGCCAGTCTCTGGTATTCGGTCTATATGCCTTCTCAGGAGTTCGAGATGCCATCAGCATGGAGAGTTTAAGCGTGGCTTGTGTACTGGGCGGCGTGGGTGTTGCTGTAGTTTTTGGGCAGCTTCGGCATCTGCTCTCCTTGGCCATGCAGATGCAGACTTTAGCTCAGCTGGCCCCTGTGCAGATCCGACGATTCAACGTTGCGACAGCCGGCTGCGCGTGCTGTCATTTGCAGCATGTGCACCCATTAACTGGATCGACGTTATCGTGCGACTTTCTCGAGGTCTGTTCATTGGTCGAAGAAGCGTCAAGTGCCAAAGGGCAAGGCTATGGCTTGCAGCTGTTCAATATGAGAGTGCGTGAGCAAGCTGCGAC